TGGTGTCGACACAATAATATCTGGTTCATTAACTGGCCACCCCTGTAGTCAAGCGTCATATTTATGACAACCAGATTTTACCAATACAAAGGGAACAATGCCAAATATATTCATGCATCTTAAAAAAAATTAAAAGACCCTCCAAGTTTCAATAACATAGAAACCATGAATTCTAACAATGCCAAAGAGATGTATGTTGCCGTTCACAAAAATACCTGTCGACCACACACCGCTGCGACTCTGAGAAGTGGTTTGCCATCATCACCTGAAAGATCATTAGCCATTCGAACCACTTGTTCACAGAGCAATACATTTGGGCAAAGAACAACAGAAAAACTACGGGAAGAAGCAGTAGGTTTCTCCGAATCATTATCCCCATCATGCTGAGCACTACAGAGCTTATCAATTAGGGGAACCAGATAACCATATGTTTTACCACTACCAGTTTCCGCAGCAATTACAACATCTTTTCCAGAGAGTATAGAGAGCATGCAGGCAGCCTTTATAATTCAAAAAGGATTTTTTTCAATAAACACCCAAAACCACCCATTAATGGTGAGCTCACATGATTGAAGACAAAGGGATTCAAGGGTAATAAACTAAATATTGGTCTCAATCAACTAAAACTCGATATCGAATTCAAACCAACGGGTATTAAATGATAAATGCATTTGATTGTTGTTTTAGCTAATATGTTTTGAATAACTAAAAATTTGTTCCATCTTTAGATTTTTTTCCTTGTTTATTGGTAGCATCAAATCTGATAACATATTCGTAATCGATTAAACACAATCAAATAAGTAAAGAGCCACGCCAATTCTAAAGCAAATATAAATTATTTTGCTCTTTAAGAAGTTTTAATAATACAATTTCAATTATTAATTATTAGAAATCTATTCAATATCGTAATATGTATCCAAGTCCCAATCTGAAATTTTCCTTCCATCACCGAATCAAAAAAGGTCGAGCAGCAAAATTAATGCTAAACGGAGCTTAAATTACAAGGAATGGATATGAACTCATCAAAAGAACAAGGTAAAGCACCTGAACGAGGGAGGGTCTATCGAAACCGGCATTAAATAGAGCTTGAGAGATCCGATCAGATAAGCCTAGAGACTTCCAGGAAACAGTCTCTTCAGCAAAGAAAATATCTCCCCCGGTTTGCTTTGGAGAAGAGACAGAAACGGATGCGCTGCTTAAGGCCCTGGTTCGACACCTGTAGGATTGATTGAGCCAAATTAAACGTATTGGAGGAGATGGCGCGGAAGTAGAGAGAAAAGAGTGGCTGAAACGAGAGAGGAGCGTTGGGGTGGTGGCTGATAAACTGTATAAATGGAGCAAAGTTGAGGCACGTAAAATCATTACTGCCTCTGTTGAAATAAGCTTTTTTTTCCCCTTCTATTTTCTGAGGCTTAAAAACTTTCAAAGTGGCTGAAGGAGGAGATGAGGGTTTAGGGTTTAACCATACTATAACGCAGCAATCTGCAAGGCGATACAATCCTTTAGATGGTCATATGGTTTTTTGCATATTGTTAAATCTGACACTCATTGTTTACAGCCTTATCAATTTAGCCCTGATTTCTGGGCAATATAAACTATAAAGTATAAACATTACTCACACTATAAAATGAAAACAGAGAATAAACAGTTTTAAAGCAAATTTTGAGGTTTCAATTCAAGTTTGAATCTGTATTGGCATTCAATAATTAAAGAATTAAAATGAAAATTTTCAGATGTCATTTTTAGTTCGGTGACCATGACTGTAATTTACTCTTATAGGGGTTTTAAGATAAAAACGTTAAACCGCAACAGGCTAGAAGAAAAGTAGATAAGGAGATGGGTTCACTAAGCAAAGCTCTTCTCTCTTCCACGCTTCTCTCACTTCGCTCCTTTTCTTCTTCCCCAACTCCTATTTCTCCTCCTCCATTTTCACTTTCCTTTGCTTTCAAAAACTCTTTCGCCTACTCTTTAACCAGCAAAAAAAGACCACCTTTTTTGCTCGCTTTCTCATCGGCCAACTTCATCTGCAAAACTGTTGAGTACAAATTCCCTGACCCCGTTCCCGAATTCGCTGATGCTGTAAGTTCCCGTTTTCTTACCTCTCACATCTTTATGCTTCCAACTATATTGGGTATGCCTTATTTTATGGTAGAATTCAATTGTTGGGTTTGTTTGTTTTTTTTTTTTATTTGGGTTACTTCAGGAAACGGATAAATTTAGGTCTCATCTGCTCAAGAAACTGTCCAAGAAGGAGGATATTTATGGAGATTCGGTTGAAGAAGTTGTAGGAATCTGCGAAGAGGTAGTGTCTTTCTGTATTTTAAGCAAATTTTCTTCTTATTTGATGGTTGGTGGAGCTTATGATTGTTGTTTGAGTGGAAATTGTGGATTACCGGTTGATTGGATTTCTCTAATTTCAGGATAGAATACCCCATTCATAATTTCCATGAAGACGACTTGTTAAACAAAACTAAAAGCAAGATTTTAATCGGAATGTCTGAACTTTAAACTCTCAAATGAGATGATTATGAATGTGAAAGGCTTGGTTTTCCAGAGCATAATTAGTTAAAATAGAGATAATTGTGTCATTTGTTTAGATAGATATCTGCTTCACTAGAAAACCTGGAGTGTAATAAAAAAATTTAAACAATTTGAATAGCTTGTTCATGGAGGAATAAAGAATAAATGAATGGTATAATGACAAAAATACACCTAACGTTTAAGTAAATAGTTATTTTGGTCCCTATCTTTTATTTGGAGTTTAACGTAAAATGTCCTCTAACGTTTGAATAAATAAACACTAAATTTATTCAAACGTTAGAGGACTTTTTACGTTAAAATGAAATGGTGGGGCCAAAATGCTCTTATAAAAAGAATAGAGACTAAAATAACTATTTAGTCGATCGGGGTATTTTTTTTGGCCATTATGCCTAAATGAAAAGGCCTCATGCTCGTCTTTGCTGCCCTCGTCTGAAACGGATTGTTGGAAGAAAAATGGAAAAACAAGCCCTTTGTTCTTAGCGGCAAAGGACAATATACTAAACCAATACTTTGAATCGGTATGCAATAGTGGAATAAACAACATCCATTGCCATTTTGTTGTGGTGATCTATCTAGTAGTTATACAAGCACTCAATTATGTTGTTTCTGCTTATTCTAAACAGATATTCAGTACTTTCTTGCATAGTGAATATGGTGGTCCTGGAACACTCTTGGTCATACCTTTCATCGACATGGCCGATACTATAAATGAGCGTGGATTGCCCGGAGGGCCTGAAGCTGCACGTGCTGCTGTCAAATGGGCTACGGATCACGTAGACAAGGACTGGAAAGAATGGACCGGCACCAATTGATGCAAATGTTATAACCCTCCATAGGAAATGTAATCGAGTAACATTTTAATGTATGTTGTAATAGCTAGTTCAGGTATCGGAGAAAGCTTTTGTTCATCCTCTGCTTCCTTTTGAGATTAGGAAGTCATCGTGATTCAATTTCGAGCGGAGTTTTTATTAGGATGAGTAGTTTTTGTATCAGACATTCTTGATCAGAATTCAGAATATGATCCATAGACAATTCTTTCCTATCTATGAAGCGCTCCAACAGTTCATTCCCTTGCAAAACTAAGCAGTCTTCACTCTTTCCGAACCAGTCATAACGCCGCTTGACAACGAAAACGTAAACTGCATCCATCAATGGAGTTGGAATTATCAAGATTGGGGTTGAAGCAGAGTAGGGAAGTGGCAAGCATGATAGCAGCCGCAGAACAACCAAATGTAACTTTTCAAAAGGCAGAAAATAGGGATACAGCAAGCGATGCCATCAAGAAATTAACTTCAGCGGACATTTTAGTTTTAGTAGCTTTTCCATGGGAATATTGTTTAATCTCAATGCATAACGTTTAAGTGCATCATGTAAATGTGATGCCCTTGGCTCCAAAGATGACAAAGTACAATAATCCTACACCTCATGATAAGTGATATCTAAATAATCTGTCGACTGTTTAATTTTATGTCAAGTACCTCAATGAGGTAACAGTGGGTGATAAGGGCTTCAACAGATTAGGGGGATATGAGACTATCATGTTCCGCATCCGACCCGGAAAGAGAGTTGGGTTATACGAGATTGGCGGGGTGCACTAATACCACCTCGAAAATGTAAAAACAATGACGCTGTTTATCAATCATATATTTTAAGAAATATAATATTTTAATATAAAATTAATAAAAAAAATTAAAAAGTAAATTACTCTTTAATATATATTTAAAATGAGATTTCCTAAATGTCCTGTAGTTGATATTATAGCGAGCATAAATATATAACATTAACAAATATTGTTAAGATGTTTATATTTTGAAACTAAATAAGAAATAACACTTTTAACTAATTTTAGATCAATAATATATATATATATATATATATATATATAGGGTTAAATATTCATTTATAAAATGTAAAAAAAAAATTAGTTTTACACATATTTAAACTGTTAAATAAGTGAAAATAGATAACTGAAATTAACTCTTTATTTTTTCCTTCTCATTGTTAACCTCAATCATCTATTTTAATAAATTAGTAAACGAGTTGGAAATATATATATATATATGTGGCTTAAATAACACCTTTTTCAAAGAATTAGTATACGAGTTGGAAATATTCATTTATAAACATGAAAGGATATTAGTACAACTTGAAACTCAAGTTATCATGTTTATGCCCAAACCGATCCATGGGCATCATACTCTTGCGACATAATCTTGGCTGCCTAAATTATCAAATCGATTCATGCAAAGGCCAGAGGCAAAAATGACCAAAATCATAAATTTACTGAACGTGCATTTAAATTTAAAGCATGTGACCATGGATACAATCCTGAACAAGTTACAGCCTAATCGTTCTGTATTGGGATAAAATGGAAACCTCGAGAGATCCAAAATAATACTCAATTATCTTACGGCAGATCTACATACCTAATAGATTTCTCAAAATGAACTCACTCCCTTCCCACAACAATGTTGAAAATGTATGCCATTTGAATTTGTTACCCCATTAACATGTCTCTGCCACAAACAAAAACAAACATGATATATTGTTACTCGCAGAGCTGCGTTTGAAGGCCAACAACCATATGGTCTTCTGGGGTTTAAATTTAAAATAATTTGCACCTACACAAGAACAAATTTTAGCCAAAGGGTGACAAAATCCTTGACTCATTTGTGTTTTATAAATGTATTCTAGAACAAACCACAAATACTCCAGCCTGCACAATCAATAACTTAGGCTAACTCCTCCTGGATTTGACCTTCTGCATCGGTTAGAAATATCTCGTAAACATCCTGTCTTTGATTGATTAAGATAAAATTGCAAAAAAGGCTTAAAACCAAGCCTCACCAGCAAGTTTGACAGCCAAGTTGGCTTCAGCATCAGCCTCCCCATTCAGTTCCTTTTAGAGGTGAGCAAGAAAAGGTTAAATCATGCGATGCAATAAGACAAAAGGGGGAGCAAAACATCTTATTTCTAAAGAATGCACTTCTGGAGCAATTGATTGGCTTAATTTGAAGGCAGAAACAACAGTAATATAACATTATTGCAAATGCTTGTATCAAATATTTTAGATTTGAGAATTGACATCTACCAGTAAGACGATCTAAAACTGATGTCTTGACACTGCAAATTACTTAAATGGTCTCTGTTGGGGACGTGAGAGTCCTATTATATTATTTATTTTATTAGTCCTTGTTTTGTATAATACTAAAATCTAAATAATTGGTCAACTAATCTGAATCGGATAATGGAAAGGCTCATTATGGGGGCGGCCCTCTCAATCCAATTTGCTCCCCTTAGGAAAGAAGTTTAATATTTATTAGGACTTTATTTACTTTTTTTCTACAATTGTCGAAATCTCTATTTAAAGAGAGCTGTGGAATAAGAAAGTTATAGCAGAAATTTTATCAAACCCCTAAAAAGATCTTGGTCTCTCTTTTAACGAGTTGTGAGGTTTTAGTCTCCCTTCGACGAGCTAAGTTATCAATCACCATAGGTCACTCCAAGAATAACAATTAAGGGAAGGCAATCGCTTCCAATGTTCCGGCTAATCACCCAGTAACTTGATCGTGAACAAGGGACTACAACAGTCATTCTTTATTCTGCACTATCTAGGAGAAATTAAAATGGCATCGAAAACATCAGCTATCAGTTTCTAGTTCACTGGCTTCCAGCCAAAGCATGCAAGCCATAAAAGAGCTTAAATAGAAGTCAAAAAGTTTTAGATGCAAGCAATGACCCAAGCTTTAAAAACATTGTAAACACCTAATCATGATAGTATTAACAAAGAGGCAACAGTGGTCACAAGAAAAAGAATTTCTGCCGATTATTTTGCAATCAAAGCATAAGAACTTTTCATACCCTTAAAACATGATTGATCTGAAATGAAAGAAACTTATCTTTCAGTTTCATTGCCTGCTCATATAACTCAGACATGTGCTCGTGTTTGACTTTCCATAAACCCTGCAGCTGTTTACGGAAATACTAGCTATAAGAATACTACAACAGAGCAGAAGCTAAGCTCCTTAACTCGAAATGACAATACTTCAATAAAATAATAAACTAAACAAAAAATAGCTCTAAGATTAAAGAAATTTTATTATTATTTTGTTTTTGGTCATCCAAGAATTAGGCCTATATTGAAGGCCCAGGAATAGCAACAGTTGAGCTATAAGTTTGTCCAGAGACAATTTGATTTTCCATCAGGTGACAGGCCCGCCAAAAAAGAAGAAAGATTTCCTTATTCTGAGGCAAAAAGATTGGGTGTAGGAAGAAATAAATAGGTCAGGCGTGTGTTCTAATAGGAAAGACCATTGAACATATTAAATACTCTTCCTGTAGGACCAAGTTAAGAGGGAAAACTTCAATGCTTTCTTATTTTAGAAATTTCTGTGGGGGGAGAGAATGGATTGTTCTTCCCTGCAGAACCAAGTCATGAAGGAAACAATTGTCTAAAGGCTTACAACACAAAACATATAATAGAGAAACAAATGGGGCCCTAAAACAAGGAGTCTACTAGCATGGCAAAAACTACTGCAATAGATATGTCCCCTGAATTGAACCTAGCTCCAGGATTGTCATCTAGATTTTTTTCCCAGAGAAAATAACATCAAAGCAACAATGATTGGATAAAATAGTCTACCTGCATACAAACGAGCTTTGAGTCACCTCGAACACGAATGTTTGTATAACCTTTTCTAAGAGCATGTTTCAACCCTAAAATTACAGCACGATATTCAGCAGCATTATTGGTTGCTACGCCCAAACCCTCACGTAATTTGCAAATCTGTTCAAAACATCATATTATGGAAAGATGTAGGTGCGAAAAAGGTCCATATTCCAAATGATCAATTGATACCACAGTTCCAGTATCAGTTTTCAACACAGCTGCTGCACCAGCTGGTCCAGGATTTCCTTTTGATGCACCATCAAACTCAAGTATACAAGACAGCTGCCATCAAGAAATAAAGTACAGTCATAAAAATCTTGGTAAATTAATTCAGAAACCCTTTTCTCTCTCAGGAAACCCTCTTATAATGTGAATAAAAGACCTAATTGCCAGATCTTAGATAAACTATATATAATATAATATAATATAAATTCTGCAGTCTGAGGAAATATATTCAACCATTTACTTGGCATACTCAGCTGTTAATACCGGAACCTACTTACATAACCAGAGGATGCTGTTTGAACCTCAGCGTGCGGATCCAACTTGGCATGCTTTCTCACAGGATCAGCTACAACTGGTGAATCAAGTGATCCCAGTCCCTGCAAAAGGTTAAGAGTATAACTCTGAGAAATAATGTCACATTTAATCATGATGTGCTCAGGAAAAATTAAAACTGCTAACCTACCCCATACTCTGACTGTGGTCTCTTTTTGGTTCCATCGTTATGAGATGTTTCAACCTTAGAAGAAGCTGGTTCCTTAGACAAAAAAAAAGGGGGAATATCGACTTTAAAATATATAAGAGACAATATCTTCACTTTTTCTGGATGGTATAAAATGGCCTTTGTGATACAATTAGCATGTGTAAGAAACAAACTAATCAAACTACAAAGAGTTTGATCATTGATGGCCTATTCAAAACCACAAATTGCAAGCAACCACATTACTAGGGAGACGCAGGTTCTAGGTGAAATTGCAGTCAAAAGAATATATTCAAGTAAACAGACATGGGCGGAGGTGCAGGAAAATGAATAGAACCTCGAAATCTTTTCTTTCTTTTTTAACAGACTTCTTCAAAGAAACAGAAATTTTGCAGTATGCATAGGTTCATGCTTAAGGTCTCACTTGAAAAGGGCAGGGGATAAGTTCTCCAAAAAGATCCTCTTTCACATCTGCAGCTTTAATAGTGTAGAGAGCATTCTTGAGCCCACGGGAAGACAAATATTTCTCAGTTTCCTTCGTCAAGGAGGAGCCTTTGTAAACACTGACTGGAGGATCACATATCTACTTGAAATAGAACAATAACATGTCAAAGTTAACAGCCAAGCAGAAAGAAGAAAGACAATGTCTAACTTTGAAGGATTACTACGTTATTTGCATTACAATCATTACCTCAATTCATTACAATATAAGGAGGTTAAAATCCATATTGCAATAACATAGTATAGCAACACAAGTAGCTGAAAAAGATATCAAGTTATCAACTTTAGGTGACATTAGAGAAAGGGGAAGTAAGAGAAATTACCGAGGAACCTACTTGAGCCTGACATTCAGCAAAGCTCTTGAAAACACCAACAACATCTCCCTTTCTCACTACGAAGAATGCATCTTTCTCGTTTTCCATCAGTGGTTGCTCAGGGTCGACTTTTTTGGTCCTAGATGTTTTTTTCCTACCACTACTGCCACTATTACTACTGCGGGAAGAGTAGCACCGAGTGCGAAATCTTGCCAACAGAAACTCTAAATCCGCAGTCTTAACACCGGCGTTTTGAAAATTTCTTCTCCCTAAGGGAAATGGCATTGGTTTAAAGTAGTAGTAGCAATGAAATTACCAGCCTTTCTAAATAAAGCCGAACCATAAGCACGCACGTGAGACAAGCAGTTCATCAGAGAGTAAAACTTCTCCGCAATACCTAAATTTATAGGATTAAAACAAATATAAGTTTCCCAATTAAATAACTGGACATACTAATTGTTTCTGTTGATAAGCCAAACATATACGTGATTGAAAATCATTAAAAAGAGAGAGAGAGAGACTGTGATTCTTTTCATCGGCTATTTAAGCAATGTAAGACTTTCATAGGAACAGCTAAATAAAGGTGATAAACCCTAGATAGGAATTGAGAGGGAAAGCAAAATACAAAAACGAAAGGGCATAAGGAATCATATATATACATATATTGTTAACACGTACCATTAGCAGTGCGGCAGCTGGAGCTCGAGACGAACGGGAGGGAGCCTCTTGTTGATATTCAGTTTCACGCTCGACAGTGACACATTATTAAAGACTTTGAGAGATGGGCTTTGGGTTACGAAAACTAAGTTAAAGTGGACAATAAATGTTCACAGGCTTAGATAGAAAATTATATAATGGTCCTTAAAGTTTAAGCCCATTTATTCATCAACCCTAATTACATCGGGCTTCTGAAATTGATCACGCTTTCAGTCTTAACATTCCTAGATCATTTATTAGTAATTTATTAATCAATTAATTTAAATTATTCATAAAAAAGTCATTATGGTGTGATTCTCGCAATCCAAATTAACTCTTTCATGTTATTAATATTTAAATCCTTGATATTATTCAAGGAACCTAATATAGTAGATTACTCATAATTCTACATTCAACACCAAATAATTATCAATACTTCTACAAAGCATTACCCTACATTTAACGCAAGGTCCACTGATAATTTATATAATGATGTTTATGCTAAACTAACATGAGTAGATATTGATACGAGGCACATGTAGTTGGTGTGGTGTGGTGTGGTGTGGACATCGGCCTAACAAACCCCAAGATGAGGGAAGGCTAGCCCACTTTTGTCTCAGCGCAAGCCTCATTTTCTACATCTGCCTGCTCATGACATTACTGTACAACCTAAGAGATAGGCTAAATATTTTTTGTCTTTTTATCGAAATCAAAATATCCATCGTGGATAATAATGATTAATTCTTTGGTTATTGGTGTATCTTTCTAATTTTTTATGATTTTTTCAGGAAGAAAAATCTTTTATCTAATACGATGGACGATCGAGAGTGAAGCATATGGCCAGAAATGTTATTCCCATCTACCAGGGGACACATACCAGGGGACACATCTTGATGTCCATTCCTACTGGATACGCTGCATATCTTGCCTCTCTCATTGATTTGATGTTAAAGAAACTATTAAACAAATGAAGTGAAAAACTATTATGAATCAATTGGAGGAAGTTCTGGTGCACGGCGGTTAAAGAATATTAAAAAATGGCGTGACTGGTTAAACAAATAATCAGTTAAAATGTAGATTAATTATGTTAGATCATTTAATCGGAAATATTATCAAATACAATAAAATATTAGGTAGCGTTTATATAATGTAATAGGTAACGCTTATATAATAAAATAAGTTAATTACTTAATTTGTTATTACAATATATTAGGTAAACGCCTAAAATGTTATCAAGGATAATATAACCAGTTAATTACTAGAAATATTATTAATCACAATAACATATTAGGTAGTGCTTATATAACGTAATAGGTAGCGATTATATAATAAAATATGTTAATTACTTAATTTGTTATTACAACATATTAGGTAAACGCCTAAAATGTTACCAATGATAACATAACCGGTTAATTACTAGAAACATTATCAAGCACAATAACATATTAGGTAACGTTTATATAACGTAATAGGTAGCGCTTATATAATAAAATATGTTAATTATTTAATTTGTTATTACAACATATTAGGTAACCGCCTAAAATGTTACCAAGGATAACATAACCGATTAATTACTAGAAGCATTATTAAACACAATAACATATTAGGTAGCGCTTATATAACGTAATATGTAGCGCTTATATAATAAAATAAATTAATTATTTAATTTGTTATTACAACATATTAGGTAAACGCCTAACATGTTACTAAGGATGACATAACCGGTTAATTACTGGAAACATTATCAAGCAAAATAACATATTAGGTAACGCTTATATAACGTAATAGATAGCGCTTATATAATAAAATAGGTTAATTACTTAATTTGTTATTACAGCATATTAGGTAAACGCTTAAAATGTTACCAAGGATAACATAACCGGTTAATTATTGGAAACATTATCAAGCATAATAACATATTAGGTAGCGCTGATATAACAAAATAAGTAATTACTTACTTAATTTGTTATCAGTTATTATAAACTTACCTTAGGAATAAATGTTAACAAAATTTAAACTACTTATTACATTAAAATACTTACCAGTTTTTTTGAAGGTTGTTAATAATGTAAATTGTAAAAAAATAGGCGCTACCTATTACATTAAAATACCTACCGATTTTTTTGAATGTTGCTAATAATGTAAACGGTAAAAAAAATAGTGCTACCTATTACATTAAAATACCTACCGATTTTTTTGAAGATTACTAATAATGTAAACGGTAAAAAAATAGTGTTACCTATTACATTAAAATACTTATCGGTTTTTTTAAGGTTACTAATAATGTAAACGGTAAAAAAAAATAGGCGCTACCTATTACATTAAACTACCTATTAGATATGTTAAAATTATCGATTCTATTTAAAAAAGTATCGACACTTTTGGAATTTAAAAGAAAAGCAGTAATAGCGCCTATAAAGTATCGATACTTTATAAAAATATATCGATACTTTACAATATAACAGGTAAAATATGACAAAACCAGTTTCATTATGAAAAAACGGGTAAAGAGTTACCTGATATGTTGAAAGTATCGATACTTTATAAAAACGTATCGATACTTTATAAAAACGTATCGATACTTTACAATATAATATGTAAAAATATGACAAAACCATTTTCATTATAACAAAACCGATAAAGAGATACATGATATGTTGAAAGTATCGATCCTTTTTATAAAAATGTATCGATACTTTACAATATAACATGTAAAAATATGACAAAACCAGTTTCATTATGATAAAACCGATAAAGTGTTACCTGATATGTTGAAAGTATCAATCCTTTTTATAAAAATGTATCGATACTTTACAATATAACGGGTAAAAATATGACAAAACCGGTAAAGAGCTACCTGATATGTTGAAAGTATAGATACTTTTTGTACATGTATCGATACTTTGTTGAAAGTTATGTAATTTATGTTTCAAAATTTTTTAATAGTGCTTAATGTTTTCTACCTACAATATTAATTTAATAATTTAATTTACACAAAAATTATTTGATTGTTTATATATTTTATAAAATATTATTTAGAATTTAAATTTAACAATTTTAACCAAAGATAATAATAAATATGTAATATTTATATTTATTATTTTTAACTTAATAATAATATATACCGTAACATAAAAATAAATCATTAGACGCGTATAATTACTAAATTAATATCTTAAAACTCCCTCAAAAGAAAACCTTAAATTAACGTTTTTCATAGTGAAATAAGTATGGACACTTATATATATGTATCGATATTTATCGATAACCAAAGTTTACAAGTTACTAAATTTTTTAACAGTTTTTTATGTTTTCTACCTAAAACATTATTAGTATGTCAACATAATAGGTAACGTTAAACAAAATTTATTAAATATCTTTTAATGTATCCGATAATACGGTATATTAATCTGCTTTTCATGAGACAATCCCATCAATCGGTCATATTGTGGAAAAATCTATTTTATCTCTCTCTCTCTCTATATATATATATATTTGAGCAGACAAGACCATTGATGAATAACATATTATCAATGTTCTTGTAAATACAATATTACAATTATACCATTTTTCTTAATAATTCAGAGGATTATAAAATAATATTTTTTTAAAAAATCTTAATCAATTAATAATGCATACACTTTTACATATGTAATTGTTCAAATATTCGCCCCCAATTCCTTATCCAATTTAGACAGGTTCCAAGATTGGACAATGAGACAGGTTTGTAATACCCAAAAATTTAGATAATGACCAAAATATAAGTTTTAAAAATTTGATGGTCAAAGTAGAAAATTTGATGGTCAAAGTATAAAATTTGGCAAAAATTTAAGGAATTAAGTGGTAATTTTCCCAAAAAGAATTTTATTCCATAAATGGATTTATTTAGTGACCAAATTATATATTCGGGTGACATCTATAATCTGTATATGTATAATTATACGGGTTATGAATGTCTCTATCAGGTGGTTGACCGGTCGTTTTACACACCTAAGCCAAATTTAACAAAAATTAAAGAATTGGCTCAAAAGGGGTTCTTTTAACACTTCCTCAGAATTTATGCCTCTCTTATCCAAGTTGGGTGTTATAATATCAGGCAATATACTATCAATGTCGTTGTAAATACTACTAAAATTGCTAGGAAACCGCTCCAGTAATGGACAAGCTGATTTGTCAATTGCCTGCCTTAACTTCATTCACATATTAACAGCTCTTCTTCCTACTTGCTATTTAAAATTTCTATGAAAATTTAGGTACTATGTCTTACTCTTTTATTTATTTATATGTGTATATATGATGTACTTTGAATACAACAAATAAATGTTTTTTTATAATATTTCTTATGGTATTTTTTCTTGGATTCATATAAGAAAGGGTAAAATAAACTCTAGATCATTTGATTATATGTTTAATAACAAACGAATCACTCTTTTTTAAAAGTTATAAATTGTATTTTAATTAAAATATTATTATAAATTTATCTGTTCGTCGTTATAAATGAATCGGACATCTAATATGGTTGGTTAAGTAACATTTTTGTCCCAAAAAGTTATATATTCTATCAGTTTTATCTAATTTAAAATAATTAAATAAATTTAACTATTCATTTAAAAAATTATAAATTTAATTTTTTTGACACTTTAAACCAAGCAAGCATATCGAAATAAAACAACGGTTGTATAATTATATTATGTCATAAAATAATAA